TAAGATTATACTGCTAGAACAGTTCAGTAGATGCCAGAGAGATAAATTTAAAGAGAGTTTTAACTACTAATGCCAAAAAAAGGGAAGAAAATGGTTTGCGTTATGGACTGTAACGTGACTTTCATCCAAAAGTGTCTTTTCTTCTTGCAATTCTAATGTTTAACATGTAACCAGATATAGAAAGTAATGGTAAGCACGAGTACTGAGGCCTGATTCCCTGGGTTGTAACTGTAGTTCTGCCACTTACTCAATAGAACAAGTAATTCAAACTCTTAATGCCTCAGTTTCCTCATTTGTGAGATGGTAATAATAGTCCCTGCCTCTTTGGGTTGTCATGACAATTAAATAGATTAATTGATATAAATCTCATGGAACCATGCCTAACACAGTAACACTACATCTTTACAACTAATAGCAGCAACATTCAGGAGAATATTTCCTAATTTTACTTTATCGAAGGTTATTCTTTTGTTTCTAGCCCCATGGCATCTCAAAATCTAAAGCAGCTCGAATTACTTGTGTTAGACTATTCCACACCTGCAAATACATGCATGGAATGTGCTCTTTTTACAGTCTCTGGAATTGATAGTATTTCGGTTATACACATCAATCACACAACAAGTGCCTAGATCCTTATCTCAAACAGTCAATGGCAGAATTCTTCTGAGCAAAGTGTTTTTAATAGATGGTTTGGGGGCTTTTATAGTTTTCACCTTCAAGTACAGTATCATGAAGCAATCACTAAAAAAAAACAAAGCCAAGTCTGCTGTGACTTAATGGATATCTCCAGTGGAAAGGAAAAGCTTTGTCACCTCAGTATTCCAGATGGTTGGCAGTTTTCCAACTGCAGCCACATATTATGAGGGAGACTGCAGGTGGATCTCTCGAAGCACATGAACTCCATTTATCATAGTAAGGCTTTTAGCCCTATTTGGAGTCCCTGCCCCACAGAGCTTGACTGAACCTCACAGAATCAATATCACCCATGACTAGACAAGGCAGGCCTGGATGACCTAGCTGGCCCATTTTTGCTAAACCTATAGCTGACCTGGGCCCATTACATCTTGGCAATGGCAAAAAAAAAAGGGAGGGTGGAGCCAGAAGAAAAGGATAGAAAAAGAGGAGCTGGGTCAATACAGGTTTCTTCTTACCATACCCCTGAATCAGAGTTTCTCAGCTTTAGCCCTACTGACATTTTGGATCAGATAACTCTTTTTTGTGTCAGGCTGTCCTGTGCATTGTAAGATGCTTCATCACATTCCTGGTCTTTACCCACTAGACTCTAGTAGCACACCCACTCACCCCCATCATGACAACGAGTAACGTCTCCGGACAAAACTGGCTGCTGGAGAGAACAACTGCTTTAAGGCTACACTGTAATAAGATGTCTCCTTGTATCCTTTGCCTTGGATAACTGGGGTCTTCCTCCTCCTCCGAGAGAGTTCTATGATGAAAGGAGCCCTGAATACCACCTTAAAGTGTAAACGTTACACAATCTGAGGTGGACACTCAGAGCATAAAAATAAAACTATCTCTTCTACCTACCTTATAAGGCCAAGGCTCAAATCACGTGCTTCTAAAAAGCTCAGTTCCAGCTAAGGCAAAGACAGTGATCTCTTTACTTTTCTCAAAGTTAATACATTTGTACTAAAATTAATGACAAAGGTAGAGCAGCCGATTTTAAATTTTTATCTATTTTTCCTACAGTAATCATATCTGTAATGAAATGTGTAGTCTTGAAGGTACATCTTCATGATGGTATCATTTATCTCCTTTAAAAACATGCATTCCTTTTAAAATGTGTGTGTGTGTATATTTATATTTATATAGTGTGTATATATATTTATATAGTTTATGTATATATAGTGTATATTTAGTGTATATATATATATAGTGTATATATATATTTATATAGTGTATATGTGTGTGTGTGTGTGTATATATATACACACTCTATAGTTCTAATGGTCTCAGAGTTACTGAGCTACCTTTTTCTAACAATTTTGTTCTCTCATAGGCTTCATGTGGTGTTTTCATGTCCTTGTGCATAAGCTCAGCTCTTTGGACTACTTTAGTATATATTAATAAATTTATATTTTAAAGTTCATGGCTAATGACAATCCTGTTGTATTTTTAAAAATTTTTTTAATGTTTATTTTTGAGAGAGAGAGAGACACACACACACACACACCCCGAGCATGAGTGGGGGAGGGGCAGAGACCGAGGGAGACACAGAATCCAAAGCAGGCTCCAGGCTCTGACCTGTCAGCACGGAGCCCGATGTGGAGCTCCAACTCATGAGCCATGAGATCATGACCTGAGCCGAAGTCAGATGCTTAATGGACTGAGCCACCCAGGCGCCCCTCTATTTTATTTTTATAGAGATTAAATCATCACAGAATAATACTTTGAAAAATGTACCTGATATAGTTTATGGTATCTGAGTCTTAAGTGATCTGTGTTATGTAGTCTATTTTAATGTAAACTGACCAAGTGGAATCAGCTACATGTTACCTTTCTACCTTAGAATATTTCTCCTTTACATAAACTATTGAATCAACTTTAGAACCCCCAAATTATCACTGAACTTAAAATGCTATGTCCTTATTTTAACACCATAAAATGTTGCCAAACAACTGTTCTTATATTTGTTTTAATATTGAGAGAATTAAGTCTGGGTATGAGATTTTTTAGCTAACTAGTTTGAAATCTTACTGCTTTTTCAGTGTATTTATTTTTCCTGTCTACTCATATGAAAAATAGCCACATGCAAAAGAGCCCCTTTTATGAAATATATAATAGCATATATTTGTACTTTTAATATGTTCTCTTGCTGTTTACTTAAATATTTCTTTCATAAGTAATCTTGGCAAATATCTCAGTGAACTATAGTTTATAATTTTAAAAAATTCACTTTCCCTTGATTTTCATGAACTTTTGTGAACACTCTACAGAGAAATGTAATGGAACAATTCATTGGTAATTGTCAGATTTGGGCAAGTTTTACTTAACAATATTAATAAGTTGTTAATATTAAATTAATTTAAATTAATATTAAAATTAATATTTTGAGTATTTACTTTGCTCTGTGGTAAATGTAACTATTTGCTAAATTATTTTCATGTGTTATTTTTGTAATTCTCATAGAGGTATGAATTTATTAAATATTGATGTTTATAACTGTCCCCATATTACTTTTTTTAATTGCCTGTTACCCTAGTTTCTTGGTCAGTCAGTGTCTTTGGAATATCTTACAGTTGAAAAGTATGTTGTTGGAGCACCCGGGTGGCTCACTGGGTTAAACATCTCACTCTTGGTTTTGGCTCAGGTCATGATGTCATGGTTCATGGGTTTGAGCCTCATGTTGGGCTCTGTTCTGATACTGCAACGCCTGCTTGGGATTCTGTCTCTCTTCCTCCCTCTCTGCCCCTCCCCTGCTCATGCACTCTCTCGAAATAAATAAACTTAAAAAAGAAAGAAAGAAAAGAAATATCTTCTAAAAAAAAGTGTGTTGTCTGACAATAAGTACTAATGGGTTCAAAACTTAACTAGACTCAATGGCTAAAATGTTAAAAATAATAACATAAATAAGAGGAGGAAAAGGACACGGTAGAGGAGGAGAAAGGGGAAGAGAATGAGACTATAATCTCTGTGTCCAGACATCTGGCTGAGGCCATATAACTTAGAAATATAAAACAACTATCAGGTGACATGAGATCAAGCATGGATTTTGTGGCAGTGTATTACAGGAATTCAAAGTTGGGAAAGGTCATTAAGACCTGAGCTTAGTTAGAGATGCTCTGTGGGAAGTGGATTCTTAAATTTTTTTTTAAATCTTTCTACTTATTTTTGAGAGAGAGACAGAGTTTGAGTAGGGGAGGAGCAGAGAGAGAGGGAGACCCAGAATCCAAAGCAGGTTCCAGTCTCTGAGATGTCAGCACTGAGCCCGACACAGGGCCCGAACCTATGAACCGTGAGATCATGACCTGAGCCAAAGTCAGACGCTCAACCGACCGAGCCACCCAGGCGCCCCGGGAAGTGGATTCTTCTCTCAGCCTCAAAGGAAGTTAAGATTTGGTTTGGTCTTAGACAATTGGTGAGTGGCCAGTGATGAATAGATGACATTCCAGTTGAAGGACAAGTATAAGAAAAGTCCAGGAGATGAGAAAGAGCTTCCAGTGTAACAAATACAATTGACCTGAGGGTGTGAATTTTTCCTGAAACTCTCACATGATTTTTACACAATTTCAGGAGAAGGATATCAATTGTATTCACATTGTTTCTGATGCAATATAAAAGCATGAGGGTGTTTCTGGGGCTGGAGGGAGCACATAACCTCAGATAGGAGAAGTCAGTACACCAGGGTTTACTTGGCACTTGTGTTGCCCATGTTTCTAGAGACAGAAGAGAACTGAAAAGGTGCATTTTTCCTAGCTATTTATTTAGTTAAAAGTGTATTAGACCATACTTTGCCCTATAAAAGAAGATGACAACAGAAACTATTACGAACTGGTGCAGATTTTACTTGCTGGTAGTAAATATTTCTGGACACCTTTCTGATATTGTCATCCTTCATTTCAGTGGTTCTCAGCCCTTTTTTTCCCCCTGTCTTTTTCTATTTCTTCTTTCCTTCACTCCAGGTTGCCACTCTGATATACTCTCATAATCTCTCATTACACAGCATAATTATTCTAATGGTGGGGGCTAGGGGAGGGAGGGAGGGGGTAAGCCTGGGGAAGATTTGTATCAGAATCCAGAAAAGGGATGTGGCTGTATATGGTTTGAAAGTTCCCCTTGCAAGTGTTGATATCTCCCCTTCCCTGTGCCCTTTGCTTTTTAGCAATTTATTTTTAATATTTTAAATTCTATACCTAGGTTGGTATTTTTCTGGAATGTCATTAATACATTAGGTTACTAATAAATTAGAACAAATTAGCTTTGATAACTTAATCTGAAAGATTTTTTTAAATCCGCCCTCCTCCCCAAATTGTGTTTTCTAGATCCCAAAATCCAGGAGTGAGGGATCTATTCAGTCACACAGAGTACCACAACCAGAGCTGTCAGATGGTGTTCCTCAGGTCAGCCTGCGGCTAAGTCGTAGAAAACCCTACTGGAATGATGTGAATTCAGCAGAAGATGCTAGTGGTGCAAAGTTGGTATCCAGGTTGGCATGTTTCTTTTGTTTACATGTTACATCGTGTATTGTCTGCTCCCATGTATAGGCTGGCATACTTAGGAATGTTTGCATGTAACTACCACTGGGGTCAACAGGATGCAGATCAGTAAAACTATTTAAATTTCCTTCTAAGTTTTGGGAATTTTTTTGAGTAATAGTTCTTACCACAGAAGTGTTCCTGATTTGTTATATGTACTTTTTTGTTTATGTTTTGAAACAAAGTATCTAGTCAACTGGACTGTGCTAGGCTCAGAGTTGTAAGTGGGAAGAGTTACTTCTTGGTTCCCTTTTCATAATATGGTCAGTGGCCAGTATTATTTGCAGTCAAAATGGACATCAGAGTTGTTACTGGAACCAGCTGTCACTAACACATTTGAATGTGTCATTTTAACTATTTATTATGTTGCACATTATACCGGAAAGCAAACCTCTTTGTTATACTTGAAGAAGACATGTAGGGTTGTTTTTTTTTTTTTTTTTTTTTTAAATAGATAAAATGGAGTCTGAATCTTATTAACTCCTAGCATTTGGAAGTTTTTCCCTTTAAGAATTTTCAGTCTTTTGTTATAACTGAAAGCCCATTTATCAAAAAATCCATTATAAGAAAGCTCTAGAGAATTGAAAGATATTTAAGACATTAAATAGATAAATAATATAGCTCAGGAGCGTACCACTTTGGATTGCCTTATGAACGAAGGAATTCCTATAAAAGATGAAGAGAATTTAAATAGGAAGAAAAAGAAGGCCTAGTCAGGAAGTATAATAGAGGTATTTGGGAAATAGCAAACAGGTATCATGTGAGGAATTGGTTGGAGATAAGGCTGGGAAAATGGAGGGCGCCCAGGTCACTGAGGACCTTGAATGCCAACTAGAAATATTTTTGCGTTTAGTCTTTCCTTCACTGAACAAATGATCAGCACTTAATCTCTGGTTCCAGGAACTGCTTTAGGATCAGGGATGCAGCATTGAACAAGGCCAACCAGGCCCCTGTGTTTATGGAACTTACATTTTAGTGAAGGGAGTAATAGGAAAACACTTAGAAAAAGTGGGCGGGAGGCAGTGGGGAGCCTGTGAAGATCATTTCAGCTCTAATAAGTGGGGATATTAAGAAACTAAATCGGGTTAATGTCCCAGACTCACGCAAAGACAATTTTAGTTTGGGCAGGGAAAGCCTAAGCTGAGATGCAAAGGGGGAAGAGAGTGTTGGTGAAGGTCAAAGAAAGTGCATTTCTATGCAAAAGAACTGAGCTAGGGAACTGGGCTTCATCCTGTAGGTAATAGGAAGCCAGTAAAAGTTTCACCTGGGTAGGACTAGGTGATAGGAACCATGGAAAATTGTATATTAGAAAAAGTAATCTTTCATCAACCTGCAGGATCAGTGAGACAAGGGAGGGCTGGAGGTAGTGATAGTATTGATTCATTCAACTGTCATTAATCTTTATGGAGATCTAGTTATGTGGCATTTACTTGCTGGTGCTGGCAATTCAGAGAATTAAGAGACCTAAGTCTTACACTTGGGGACACAGAGGAAAAGTAAATAAAACTTGAATTGTGATCATTAAACACGCATACACTAGGTGCCCATCATCTACCAAGCACTGTGAAATGGTCTGGTGATAAAGTCATAAGTAAGATTCAGGTGCTCTTAAAAAGCTTCCAGTACAATAGCCAGGGTGCTGTGTGAGGCCAGAGGAGGGGAACAGACCACGTCTGGAGAGGAGGATCAGAGAAGGTTTCAGAAAGAGGACGACTTTAGAAATAGGACTAGTAGGATAAATAGAAGTTTAGGGGGCAGGTAAATCGAGACAAGGTGCTTCTGGAAGAAAACAACATGTGCCAGGACATGCGAGGTGGTGAGGACAGCTCAGAGAACAGCAAGCGTTGCAGTGGATTCAGGACCCTGGGGTTTAGAATGTAGATGAGGCTAGAGGTGGGCTAAGAGGCTGAATAGATCAGATCATGAAAAACTGTCCCCCATATTAAAGGCTTTGGATTTTCTCTTGACCATGACAGAATGTGATCGCAGGAATATAAGGTGGCGGGCAATCCAAGCAGACTTGTATTTATAAAATATAGGCTCCTGTGGCATCTGTGCGGAAGGAGAGGTTATGGGTGCGTGGGATCAGTGAGAAGGCCACATGGTGGACCCAGCGCCACCTGTGAGCCTTGGCAAAGGGGCAGACGAGTCTGCACTTCGACAGAGGGCACGAGTGGACTCGGTCCAGAAAGGGTTGGGCTTGTTTTGTTTGTTTTACTCCATCTGGGGTGTTATAATATTTTAACAACTGAAAGGCCAGTTTGCGTGCATGGACAGAAAGACGCTGATGTTCCTAGCCTGGAGGTAGTACAACAAGGCGTCCAGAGGGAATTCGGAAACGAGGGAGCAACATCTTGAGAAGCACAGGCTATGCACCTGCTGGATAGCTGTGCTGCTGGGGCCGGGTTTGTGCAATGTGCAGTCTTCACCACTGAACGGCAAGGGTGTCATCAGTGGAGGAACTGGCCTTGGGCAGTGAGGAAAGCTCCAAAAATAATAAAGGCCAAAGATAGAAATACTGGACCTTTTTAAAGTTTTCTTCTCTAGTTTAAATATCCAAGTCAAGTGGCTGGGTGACAAGAGCTAGTGTAGATGTTATCTTCTGAAATTACTTGGTAGAGAGTTATGCCAGGAATGTCTTAATGAAATAATGAAAAGAAAAATTTTAATATTTGTTCTTTATATCTTTTTTTTAATTCATCCAGGCAGAAAATGAAAGGGAGGAAGTTTCATAGGGCACCTGGGTGGCTCAGTCAGTTGAACATCTGACTCTTGATTTTAGCTTGGGTCAAGATCTCATGGTTGGTGAGATTGAGCCCCACATGAGGCTCCATGACCAGCATGTAGCTTGCTTAGGACTCTCTCTCTTCCTCACTCTCTCCTCCTCCCCCGTTTGTGCTCTCTCCTGAGCATGCTCGCTCGCTCACTCGCTCTCTCTCTCAAAAATAAATACTTAAAAAAAAAAAGAGAAACCATGCTACTCATCATCATGCAGTATTAACTCATCCAAGTTCTCACCATCTTCATAGATGGTGAGACAAATTGTCAAAAGACAAATGGAGATAATTAAAATAAATTTAACTAAAAATAAACTTTAAATCCTTCATATATCTTTGAAGTAAGAGAATGGATATTATGGCAATTTTCATTTCAAAAATGCACTGATGAAGCTGTTTCTATTTATTGTCCAGAACAAGTTGTTAGTTCATAATTTTTAAAAATTTTTAGTGTTTATTTTTGATAGAGCACGAATGGGGGAGGGACAGAGAGAGAGGGAGATGCAGAATCCCAAGCAGGCTACAGACTCTGAGCTTTCAGCATGGAACCCAATGCAGGGCTTGAACCAATGAGCCACGAGGTTATGACCTGAGCCAAAGTAGGATGCTTTACCAACTGAGCCACCCAGGCACCCTAGTTCATTATTTAATTTTTAAATAAATTCAAAGTAGTATATGTGATATACACACAACTTTTTCTAAATCTTTAAGGAAGATTTTCCTTAACAGTTGAGTAGTTGTGCCAGTCTTTTTTTTAATTTTTTTTAAAGTTTATTTTATTTTTGAGACAGAGAGAGACAGAGCATGAACGGGGGAGGGGCAGAGAGAGAGGGAGACACAGAATCGGAAGCAGGCTCCAGGCTCTGAGCCATCAGCCCAGAGCCTGATGCGGGGCTCGAACTCACGGACCGTGAGCTCGTGACCTGAGCTGAAGTCGGACGCTTAACCGACTGAGCCACCCAGGCGCCCCAGTTGTGCCAGCCTTAAAACAGAAAGGTTGGCAATAGTGTATTAAATACATTGTTGTGTGCCTATTACCTAATACAAGATTTACTTTGGTTTACCAACTTTTTTTCTAGGAATTGTCAGGCAGCCTTTAGCTGGGTTTTTCCTAGTATTGATTTTTTTTATTCTGTAGTTGCTCTTTGGGGAAAAAAAATTAGCAGAATTTATTCTTGTTTGGTCTATGACCTGGTGAGTTTGGTTTACTTTACAAAAAAAAAAAGTCGTTCTGTCTGCACTTTAAAAATCAGTGCACCCCTTTTATACCTCATGGTTTGGTTTACAGCAGAATTACCATATTAGTTAATAACAAAGATAAAACCAAGAAAGAACCTTTTGGTACTGAGATTTCCAGAATGGTGAAGTGTCCTATGATTTTTAAACAACAGGTTAAAGGCTAATTTCTAGGGCTTTTGAGAAGCAATTTTTGGCTAACAGTGTGTTTTGATAACTTTGAATGTTTAGAGTTGAGGCCTTGTTCAGTATTTTTCCCCAGGTTGTCTCACTTGGTCTTTTTCTTCTTCATTTCAGTTCTTCTAGGGAGTCTCATTTCTTCTTAAGATGTAATAGAAGTATGAATTGTTACCAGCATGTATTCACTATTTTCTAGTCTTCAGATAGTGGCAGCAAAAATAAAAGTAAAGAGAGCTACACACTTAAAGTGTGATGTTTTGAGAGTTCAAAAAGGAGGGGATATCACTTATTGTTTACAGGCTGATTTCTATCTTGGAGCATAATTTATTTAGATGAATGACATTTTTTTCCATATTTCTGTAATTTTCAAAAATTGGCATTGAGGCTATGATCATATAAACAATCATTTTTCTTCATAGAATCTGTCCCAATTAGAGTGATTCAATGAAAAAAGCTTAAGGATAAGTATCTCTTGATTTTGTTAGAGCTCAGTAGAATTATCTATTTTATACTGAATTCCAAGCCAAAGACAGAAGTACTTATTGACATGTTCACTTAATTCAGTGAAAGCATTAGCTAATCCATGTATGTCATCTAAAACTCACAGCAGCAGTTTCAAAAATACTATTAAAAATTCTTTTTTGTAGTTGAGATGTGTGCATTACTGAAACTCACAATAGACTGAAAAGCATAATTTCTTTTCAACGTTTTTATTTTTTTTTTTTTTTTATTTTTGGGACAGAGAGAGACAGAGCATG